TTGTATAGTAAACCCCAATCAACCCTCTCTGCTATAGTGAGCAGGAAAACGGCAATCAAGGAAGCTGTTGTTGCAAAAGGTGCAACTTTGTTTTCGAAACAGAGAGCTGCTAGATCATCTTCAACAGCAAGAGGCCACACCTGAGGAAACTGCTTTGGAGGAGGGGAGAGAGAAATTGAAGAAGTTGCCTACTTCAAAGATTAAGGAAATGTGTGCAAAGTGGCTTGAAGTGCAAACCTTTTTTGATGAAAATCACCCTGACACAGCTGCTGCAAGCTGTGCTGGTGACTATTACACTGACAATGTTGTGAACCACTTTAGGAAAGTCATAAAGGAACGAGAGGTACAGGCCTCTATGGACAGATATGTTGTGCGACAGAAGTCCAGTGACTCTCAAGGTGGTCCTAGTGGCATTAAAAGAAGAAGGGAAGTAACCCCGGGAAAAGACTTGCTACCTCAAGTCCTAATGGAAGGGGATTCCCCTTCTAAACACTAACACCATCCATACTCTCCCCTCCTCACATCCCATCAATCACCACCAGATCTTCATTAACCCTTTCAGGGTCCGTCCCGTAGATCTACGGCTTTACGTTCAGGGTCCAAACCGTAGATCTACGCCATGAGCTCAGCTCACTCTGATAAACTGTGAGTGGTACATTTGGGCCTAGATATGAGAGAATACATCTATGTGGTATGTGTGCACCACATAAAACAGATCCTGCAGCACACTGTGTATAATGAGAGAAAAAAAATGAAATCATGATTTTTCGATTAAAACAGCAACTTTGCAGTGTTTTTTCGTATGTTTTTTATAGTTGTATTTGCGATTTCTTGGTCTCATTTGATAGAATGGAAGACATATTACATAAATAGAGATGATTTTGATTGGTTTTAGCACTGGAAATGTCTTGAAACTGAGCTCAAAGTAGCAGAAATGTTAAATTTTTGCCGATATTCAAGAGTAAACAAACGACCTCATACGTCTAATACACGTCAGCTGGTGGGTCTAATATACATTCACAAATATGGTGATGATATTTATACAATTATTACAGTATTGCATAACAGTAAATCTTCTATTTTTTGGTGTGAATAAAAATTCATTATGTGAATAAAAAATCAAAATGGAATTTATTTGTAAAGCCTCAAAACATTAATGAACAGAGGAAATGTTAGTTTAGTGCCAGGAATGCCTACATTGTTCATTCTGGACCCTATTTTGAAATTGGAATATTTTGAACTTTGTGTTAAATTGGCCAAATTAACAATTTCCGATCACTTTATTTTGTAGTTGAAACAGTTGACTTGGCGATTTCTTGTGCTCAATCGATAGAATAGAAGTAATACTAGTGAAATAACTACGAATTTGGTTGATTGGAATAATGTAATTGGCCTAAAATGGGAGTCAAAGTCGGCAAAATCGCCGATTCGTAAATATCGCTAACACATCAAAATTCGCGAGAGCATAATTTCGTCAATTTTCCACCAAATTTCGTACTTTTTGTTTTATTACCTTCACAAAAAGATTCTCTACGATTTCATAAGAAAAAATAAAAAAATTTTTTTTTTTGAAAATTCTTGGACACTGGTGCGTGACTCCAGATTTGGGCCTTGGACCCTGAAAGGGTTAAAGGTAAGTGTCAATTATTCTATTGTTATTAATCTATTGTTATTGTAATTATTCTATTGCATTAAACTTAATATTTCATGTAAAAATTTTTTTTTCATGCTTTTGGGTGTCTTGCACGGATTAATTTGATTTCCATTATTTCTTATGGGGAAAATTAATTTGCCTTTCGATATTTTCGACATTCGATGAGCTCTCAGGAACAGATTAATATCGAATGCCGGGGTCCACTGTATTTATTATTTGTACACACCCCTCTGGGTTTTCTTCTATTTTCTTACTATACGTAGTTCTTTTTTATTTCTGCTTATCTCCATGGGGAAGTGGAACATTATTCTTCTTCTGTAAACCATGTGTATCATGAGAGATGACTAAAGTGCCAGGAGCGAGGGGCTAGTAATCCCTTCTCCTGTATATTTTGCTAAATATAAAAAGAGAAACTTTTGTTTTTCTTTTTGGGCCACCGTACCTTGGTGGGATATGGCCAGTTTATTGAAAGTAGATGATGTATTTTTTGTGATAAATCAGAAGTGTTTCATCAGGAAATGAGCTAGGAAGAGTCCTTTAACCCTTTGACTGTTTCGGCTATATATATACATCTTACGAGCCAGTGTTTTGGACGAATATTTATTATTTTTTTTTATTATCACACTGGCCGATTCCCACCAAGGCAGGGTGGCCCGAAAAAGAAAAACTTTCACCATCATTCACTCCATCACTGTCTTGCCAGAAGGGTGCTTTACACTACAGTTTTTAAACTGCAACATTAACACCCCTCCTTCAGAGTGCAGGCACTGTACTTCCCATCTCCAGGACTCAAGTCCGGCCTGCCGGTTTCCCTGAACCCCTTCATAAATGTTACTTTGCTCACACTCCAACAGCACGTCAAGTATTAAAAACCATTCGTCTCCATTCACTCCTATCAAACACGCTCACACACACCTACTGGAAGTCCAAGCCCCTCGCACACAAAACCTCCTTTACCCCCTCCCTCCAACCTTTCCTAGGCCGACCCCTACCCCGCCTTCCTTCCACTACAGACTGATACACTCTTGAAGTCATTCTGTTTCGCTCCATTCTCTCTACATGTCCGAACCACCTCAACAACCCTTCCTCAGCCCTCTGGACAACAGTTTTGGTAATCCCGCACCTCCTCCTAACTTCCAAACTACGAATTCTCTGCATTATATTCACACCACACATTGCCCTCAGACATGACATCTCCACTGCCTCCAGCCTTCTCCTCGCTGCAACATTCATCACCCATGCTTCACATCCATATAAGAGCGTTGGTAAAACTATACTCTCATACATTCCCCTCTTTGCCTCCATGGACAAAGTTCTTTGTCTCCACAGACTCCTAAGTGCACCACTCACCCTTTTCCCCTCATCAATTCTATGATTCACCTCATCCTTCATAGACCCATCCGCTGACACGTCCACTCCCAAATATCTGAATACATTCACCTCCTCCATACTCTCTCCCTCCAATCTGATATCCAATCTTTCATCACCTAATATTTTTGTTATCCTCATAACCTTACTCTTTCCTGTATTCACTTTTAATTTTCTTCTTTTGCACACCCTACCAAATTCATCCACCAATCTCTGCAACTTCTCTTCAGAATCTCCCAAGAGCACAGTGTCATCAGCAAAGAGCAACTGTGACAACTCCCACTTTATGTTTGATTCTTTATCTTTTAACTCCACGCCTCTTCTCAAGACCCTCGCATTTACTTCTCTTACAACCCCATCTATAAATATATTAAACAACCACGGTGACATCACACATCCTTGTCTAAGGCCTACTTTTACTGGGAAATAATTTCCCTCTCTCCTACATACTTTAACTTGAGCCTCACTATCCTCGTAAAAACTCTTCACTGCTTTCAGTAACCTACCTCCTACACCATACACCTGCAACATCTGCCATATATACGTGTATATATATATACGTATGTATACTCAATAATTCTAGCAGCTTCAAATCAAGGCAGGAGAAAGCTGGTAGGCCCACATGTGAGAGAATGGGTCTGTGTGGTCAGTGTACACTGTATAAAAAATCCTACAGCACACATTGCATAATGAGAGAAAAAAACTCTGACTGTGTTTTTGGACTAAAATGCTAACTTTGAGGTGTATTTTTGTTTGATTAGTTTCACGATGAAAACGACCTTGAAATTGAGCTCAAAGTAGCTGAAATGTTCGATTTTTACCAATGTTCAAGAGGAAGCAAATCACACTACATGTCCAATACACGTCAACTGGGGAGTCTAATATTCTTTCACTAGTGCACTGATATTATTTATACCATTTTTACAATAATGCAGTAGTCTGCATAACAGTAAATCTATTTTTTGTGTGAATAAAAAATCAAAATAGAAAGCAAGAGTAATATAAGAGGGGCCTGGAGATGTGACTAATGAACAGAAGATATGTTATTTTAGTGCCAAGAATGTCTGCATTGTTTATTCTGGACCCCTATTTCGAAATTGGCATTTTTTTTTAATTTGCGTGAAATTGGCCAAATTGCCAATTTCTGACCACTTTATTGGGTAGTTGAAATCAGTAAATGGGTGGTTTCTTGTACTCAGTTGATAGAAAAAATGGAGTTTGGGCGACTGGAACAATGGAATTGGCTGAAAATAGGGCTCAAAGTCGGCAAAATCACTGATGTGTATATATTGCTGAGATCGCTAACTTTGCGGGAGCATAATTCCCTAAGTTTTCGATCAAATTTTGTACTTTTGGTGTCATCACAATCAGGAAAAGATTCTCTTACCATTTCATAAGAAAAAATATTTTTTTTTTCCCCGACACCAGGAGACACTTCAGGATTTGGGGTTGTGACAGTCAAAGGGTTAAGTTTTCCTGTGTTTGGCTACAAAAGATAAGAGAGACTACAGGTACTATTCGACTTACAACCGAGCTTGGTTCCGACCAACCGTTCGTAAGTCAAAATGGACGTAAGTTGAACCTTACTACTGAACATCAACATCACGTTTTTGTAATGACTTTATTTTATTGTTTTATTTTGGTATTTCAGTTTTTACTTTACTTTTTATGCTGTTAGTAGTGTATTTTATACTGTAAGGTTTAGGATAAACACACAATGTGTGCAACACAAACAGTTGTTTATTTCCCAGAAATTTGGCATACAAAACATGGTCGTAAGTCGAGTGGTCATATGTCGAGCAGGTCATAAGTCGGATGGTAGGTATATTTGACAATTAATTTATTTTTTCATATGTAAACTTTAAAAATGGCAGTTCAGTATGGGTCATTCCTTGATGAGTGTGGATTTTTTTGTAGTTAGAGTATGCTGTACTGTATGTAGACATGCCTCAGGTAAATTGCCTTTTTTTTTTTTCAGGTCCAAGACGCAGTTCTCGAAAAAAGAAATTTAGTGCATTTGATCAGTCTTGGTTAGTTGGGAATAAGAAGTTAAGGGGTTACCCATCCATTGTTCCAAGTTCTGAGCCAGAAAATGATGAACCCCGACCGTCACGGAAAATGCGCAAGTAAGGATGTTTGATTTAAATTATTAGTCCTTACAAAACATTTTATAAATTGAGTGTGCAGTGTAATACCACCATATTGAATTTAAGTTCTTATTTGCCATAGGTGTAGTACCATATGTGAACACATGTTAGTGGTATGAACTGGCAAGCAACCTGTGCACATCTGAAAAGTAGTCATCCAGGGAGGTATTACTGTCCTATCATAAGAGTGTAAAGTGGAAGTTTGTTAAATAATTTGCATTCTGGTAGGATTGGTAGTTTTCTTTATCTTGTGTGGTAGGTAAAAATATGCTGGGGCTCTAGCACTTGGGCCAGATTCATGGTGTTCCTTATTTATAGAGAGGTGCAAAATAGTAATAGGACAAGCATTCAGTATCTGTTAGAGAAAGCGAAATCCCAGTGTCACTAAAAAGTGCAGACATAGTTTCTTTACATAAAGGAGGCAGTATAGTGCTGGCAAAAAGTTAAACCAGAAGCACGCATCATAAATGCCAAGAGACAAAATTACACACTGTGGAAAAGCATGGTCTGCATAACCTGAATCAAAATGGATTTAGAGCATTGAAGGTCATGCTTGTTACAACTGCTAAACCATTATGACAGAATCATGGAGACATTGTAAGAAAAAGAAATACAGTGGACCCCCGGTTAACGATATTTTTTCATTCCAGAAGTATGTTCAGGTGCCAGTACTGACCGAATTTGTTCCCATAAGGAATATTGTGAAGTAGATTAGTCCATTTCAGACCCTCAAACATACACGTACAAACGCACTTATATAAATACACTTACATAATTGGTCGCATTGGGAGGTGATCATTATGCGGGGGTCCACTGTATTTAGCTGTAGTCTATATAGATTTTATGAAGGCATTTGACAAATTTTATCATGGAGTGAAAGATTATAAAATAAGGTCACCAGGTATAATGGGAAAAGTAGGCAAATAGATACTAACTTTCCTGATGAAGAGTAATAGTAAACAAAGCAATATTTAGTTTTGGCAAAGTTTTTTTTTTTTTATTAAGTCGGCCGTTTCCCACTGAGGCAGGGTGACCCAAAAATGAAAGAAAATACTTTCATCATCATCATTCAACACTTTCACCTCACTCACACATAATCACTGTTTCTGCAGAGGTGCCCAGAATACAACAGTTTAGAAGCATATACATATAAAGATACACAACATATCCTTCCAAACTGCCAATATCCCGAACCCCTCCTTTAAAGTGTAGGCATTGTACTTCCCATTTCCAGGATTCAAGTCCGGCTATATAAAAATAACCGGTTTCCCTGAATCCCTTCACTAAATATTACCCTGCTCACACTCCAACAGCTTGTCAGGTCCCAAATACCATTCATCTCCATTCACTCCTATCTAACACGGCATTTAGTAACTTACCACCTAGTCCATATACTTGCAACATCTGCCACATTGCTCCCTTATCCACTCTATCATATGCCTTTTCTAAATCCATAAATGCAGTAAAAACTTCCCTACCTTTATCTAAATACTGTTCACATATATGCTTCAATGTAAACGCTTGTTCTACACATCTCCTACCCACTCTAAAACCTCCTTGCTCATCTGCAATCCTACATTCTGTCTTACCTCTAATTCTTTCAATTATAACCCTACCATACACTTTTCCTGGTATGCTCAGTAAACTTATTCCTCTATAATTTTTACAATCTCTCTTGTCCCCCCTTCCTTTATATTAAGGGACTATACATGCTCTCTGCCAATCCCTAGGTACCTTCCCCTCTTTCATACATTTATTAAACAAAAATACCAACCCCTCCAACACTATATCCCCCCCTGCTTTTAACATTTCTGTCATGATCCCGTCAGTTCCAGCTGCTTTACCCCCTTTCATTCTACGTAATGCCTCACACACCTCCACCATTTTCACATCCTGTTCTTCGCTCCTAAAAGATGGTATACCTCTCTGGCCAGTGCATGCAATTACCGCCTCCCTTTCTTCGTTGACATTTAAAAGTTCCTCAAAATGTTCTCGCCATCTACCCAATACCTCCATCCCCCCCATCTACTAACTCCCCTATTCTGTTTTTAACTGACAAATCCATTCGTTCCCTAGGCTTTCTTAACTTGTTTAACTCGCTCCAAAAATTTTTCTTATTTTCATTAAAAATTTCTTGACAGTGCCTCTCCCTCTCTATCATCTGCTCTCCTTTTGCACTTTCTCGCCACTCTCTTCACCTTTCTTTTACTCTCCATATACTCTGCTCTTCTTATAACACGTTTGCTTTGTAAAAACCTCTCATAAGCTAACTTTTTCTCTTTTATCACCACCAGTCACTCCTCTTTCCTCCTGCACCCACCCTCCTATAACCACAAACTTCTGCCCCACATTCTAATACTGCATTTTTAAAACTATTCCAACCCTCTTCAATCCCCCCACTACTCATACTTGCACCAGCCCACCTTTCTGCCAATAGTTGCTTATATCTCACCCGAACTTCTTCCTCCCTTAGTTTATACACTTTCTCCTCCCTCTTTCTTGTTGCCATTTTCTTCTTTTCCCATCTACCTCTTACTCTAACTGTATTTTTATTTTTTTTTTTTTATTATCACACCGGCCGATTCCCACCAAGGCAGGGTGGCCCGAAAAAGAAAAACTTTCACCATCATTCACTCCATCACTGTCTTGCCAGAAGGGTGCTTTACACTACAGTTTTTAAACTGCAACATTAACACCCCTCCTAAATAATGATCCGATGTATAAGTTGCCCCTCTATGAACGTGTGCATCCTGGAGCCTACCCATCAGCCTTTTATCCACCAATACATAATCTAACAAACTACTTTCATTGCATGCTATATCATACCTTGTATATTTATTTATCCTCTTCTTCATAAAATATGTATTACTTATTACCAAACATCTTTGTACACATAGCTCAATTAAAGGCTCCCCATTTTCATTTACTCCTGGCACCCCAAATTTACCTACTACTCCCTCCACAACATTTTTGCCCACTTTAGCATTGAAATCCCCAACCACCATTACTCTCACACTTGGTTCAAAACTCCCCACGCATTCACTCAACATTTCCCAAAGCCTCTCTCTCCTCTACACTTCTCTCTTCTCCAGGTGCATATACGCTTACTGTAACCCACTTTTCACATCCAACCTTTATTTTACTCCACATAATCCTTGAATTAATACATTTATAGTCCCTCTTTTCCTGCCATATCTTATCCTTCAACATTATTGCTACTCCTTCTTTAGCTCTAACTCTATTTGAAACCCCTGACCTAATCCCATTTATTCCTCTCCACTGAAACTCTCCCACCACCTTCAGCTTTGTTTCACTTAAAGCCAGGACATCCAGCTTCTTTTCATTCATAACATCCACAATCATCTCTTTCTTTTCATTTGCACAACATCCACACACATTCAGAATTCCCACTTTGACAGTTTTCTTCTTCTTATTCTTTTTAGTAATTATTACAGGAAAAGGGGTTACTAGCCCATTGTTCCCGGCATTTTAGTTAGACTTTTACAACACACATGGCTTACAGAGGAAAGATTCTTATTCCACTTCCCCATGGATATAAAAGGAAAAGTAATAAGACCAAGAACTATTAAGATAAAATCAAAGAAAACTCAGATGAGTGTGTATAAATAAACATGAACATGTATGTGTAGTGTGAGCTAAGTGTAAGTAGAAATAGCAAGACGTACCTGTAATCTTGCATATTTATGAGACAGACAAAAGGCACCAGCATCTTCAAGACTAATAAGACATTCTTAGTGATTTTAGAGTGTACCTGCACACCAGCACAGTGTGTAAGTTTACTTAGGTACAGGTACACATAAATATAATTATTAGAGTACTTGTATAGTATATAAAATATGAAATAACTTTAAAACACTTGAAATTTTGGAAAGTTTCCAAAAATAATGGAGATATGCGGTGCTCACGGAGAAAGTAAACAAACTAGGTGGTGCGTGCCGTATTAGAAAGACAGGGAGCTGTATAGAGAGCTTTGGTCATAATTTGAAATCGTTGTAGCGGAACACCATAAAGTGGGGCCCTACTGTGCATTATTATGAATAAATTTTATTTTTGTGTAATGTTCATTTATTGTTTCTTATGATTTCCAGATATATTGACACAGAGGTAGAGCCCAGACGTAGAAGAGTTCGACGATATGAGGAAGCTGATGATCAAGATTTTCGTTCTCTTGCACCAAAGACACACAGAGCTACTAGACGTCGCCGGGGTCCACCAAGGAGATACAGGTCAGGAAAAATATTTGTAATATTCGTCGTAAAATTTTTTTTTTAAACACCGACTCTCATGGAGGCAGGGTGACCCAAAAAAGAAGCATAAAGTTTTTCTTCTTTTTACATTTATTAATTTATACAGGAGGAGTTACTAGCCCCTTGCTCCCAGCATTTTAGCTGCCTCTTACGACACGCATGGCTTATGGAGGAAGAGTTCTTCTTCACTATCCCACAGATATTATACAAAGAATAATACCAACCTTATCAACTGTTTGCCTAGCATAATTTTATTTAGCCACCAAGGATATATCAAAAAAGGAGTTTGTTTAATAACTTCCCTCTTAGTGACCTCTTGTAATCGATGATTAAAAATTTTTCAAAAAACAAAATGGTAGAGGTGTAGCCTTAAAATAAAATTAATCTGATATATAAAGTGAGAGTTGTCACAGTTGGTGTAAAAGCAGGGAATATAGAAGGAAACATTGCACTTAAGAATAAAAATCTTGACAATGAAAGATTATCAGATTGGAAGGAAGGAGCATAGAGGAAGTGAATATACAATACTTAGTTATATGGGAGTGAATGTGTTGGCAGGTGGTTTTGTGAATGATGTGAATCATGGACTAGATAAGAGAAAAAGGTAGATGAAGTGTTAAAGAATCTGGGAAGATAGTTGTTTATCATTGGTTACAAAAATGACAATTTAACAAGAGTTCTGTATAGAGGTCTGTGAATGTTTTAGCGAGGAGGGTGGAGGCAGTGGAGATGTTGTGTTTGTAATTAATATTTGGTGTGAATTATGCAGAAAATTGTTATTGGAGTGTGAGCAAAGTAAGCTTTATGAAGGGATTCAGGGAAATCAGTTATCCTGACTTGAGTCCTGGAGGAGGGGAGTACATTGCCTACACTCTGAAGGAAGGGTGGGGATATTTGCAGTTTTAGACCTGTAGTATTGGTGGTGCTCTGGCAAGACAGTGATAGAGTGAGTGATGGTGAAAGTGTTTCCTCTCTTTCTGGGTGTCACTACCTTGGTGGAAGATGGCCGGTGTGTTACAAAATAAATTAATAACTAAATTGAGTAGTTTGTTTATATGCAAAAGGTTTTAAACTTGAATCATTTAAAATTGCTGTGACAAGAGACACCTGAAACTTTTTAATATTTCAATCTGTTTTCAGGGAGGACCCAGATAATTCTGAAGATGAGGATGGTAGAAGGTTGCGAGCCAGATGTGGAAATCAGGTGAAGGTGGAAGATGATGAAGACAACCAAGAAGAAATGGACACTGATGGAGAAGCATTGGAAAGGTCTGAACAACACATGAAGAGATTCAAGGAAGCTGAAGAAAGATGTATTGAAGATAGAGAAGAAGGAAATGAAGGAGATGATGATGACGATGACGAAGAACTTCCACAGAAGAGACGCACTACGAGGAGTTCATTAGTTGCAGCAGGAGAGAAAATTGATGATACAGAGGAGGAAGAGGAGGAGGAATCACCTGTGATACGTAGACGTGGACCTAAAAGGAAGAGAGATACTCCCATTGCTGGTAATCTCTCTTTAAAAGACTCGGTATGTAGAGTGCAAATTTTTGGATTTCCTTATTCCAGTCTTGAACATCAGAAGCATTTATAAAATAAATAAAAAAGAAAAAGGTTGATTAAAGAGAGTCTACTTGCCTATTCAGCACTGAGTGACCCTTGTGGGTTTATCAGTTTGTTTTGATTATAATAATAATACTCGCCTATTTATACTTACATGGTTGTGGTTGCAGGGGTCAGTTGTTAGCTCCTGGCCTTGACTCTTAAACTTGCCACTCCTCAGATTCACTCCGTCTTAGCTTAGAGGGACTTGTCTTACCTGCTCTTAAAACTATGTATGGAGCCTATCTCTACTTCCTGACCATTCTCTGACTGAAGAAATACTTCCCAACTTCCCTGTGGCTTGTCTTTATATCCTCAAGTTCCCATTTCTTGCCTCTCACCCTTATCAGTTTCCCTGAGTATTTTGTATGTTGTTATATCCTTCCTGGTTCTTCTGTCCTCTAATGTTAGGTCCATTTCTGTTAGCCTTTCCTTGTATCTCATGTTCTTTGGCTCAGAATCTAGCTGTGCTGCATACTTCTACACTTTCTCCAGTTTTTAATATGCTTTTTCGATTGTGGGTTTGATACTAGTGCTGCATACCCTAAGATGGGCCTAGCGTATCTTGTATAAAGGGCCCAGAATGACTTTGTTTATATTCCTGAAAGCTACTCTAAGTTTAGCCAGTTGAGCATTGCAGAAGTTATTTGGCTTATGTGAACTCAGGCATTATACCAGGCACTGTGCTCACTACTAGATCTCTCTTTTTGAGTGAGGTCAGCAGTTTCTGTTCACCTAGTGTATACCCTGATCCTAGTCTTCTTGCTTCTTTCCCACTCTCCTTGGCCTTGCATTTATTGGGGTTGAATTCAAGCACTCACTTATCTGACCCCCCACTTGCAATTTGTCCTGATTTCTTTGGAGTCTTTGATTCTCATCATCTGTTTATATTCTCCTCATTAGTTTTACATCATCATCAAAAAAAATGATGTATTTGAATCAGTCCCATCTGGAATGTCATTCACATAAATTGGAAAGTTTTTTTTTGGTGAACACATGCATGCATTTTTTTTTTTAACTAAGAGCCCATACATGGCAGTACAGTATATAAAAAAGGCAAACAGCAGATTACAATCTACACTGAGGCTATTTTCTGAGGTCTGTCTAGTATCTTGTTTGAGGACTGTCTACTAATATCAGATGGTTAAAGCAAGGATTGTAAAACAGAAGTGATGGAACCGAAAGGAATGTACATATTTTTGGTGGTGGTTTCATTCTGTAGTCAAACTAGGTTTAAATTATATATGATTGGAAGGAGGGGGTACAAGAGGCTTTAGGTTTTAGGGGGGTTTGTGCATCCAGCAGGTGTATGTGAGCATGTTAGATAGGAGTGGAGACACATGGTTTTTAATAGACTTTCCATTGGAGTGTGAGTAAAGTAACATTTATAAAGATATTCAAGGAAACAGGTTAGCTGAATTTGATTCCTGGAGGTTGGACTCGAGTGAATAATGGTAACATATGACTATTAATGTATAATAGTCATCATTGTGACCTTTTCACACGACATATTCCTGTCACTGGGCTAAGGCATAAGAGTATGCTCCTCACCAGCACAAGTCTATGAGTATGCAGTGTAACTATACTTTGATTAATGATTTATTGTACTTTACTCTTCCAGTTTGTAGACATGTATTCACGAGTGAAAAGGCAACGTAGACCTGTCAAACGTTTCATGTATGAGGATGAAGTTTCTGAGAGAAGGGCTAGAAAACACAATTCTTCCTCAAATGACAGCGTTAATGAAAAAGATGATGACGATGACGACGATGATGATGATGATGATGACGATGATGATGATGAGGAAGAGGAGGAAGAAGGTGGAAGTGAGGTTCAAACAAGGTCACGCTATTCGCTAAGACGGAACAGGCGGGAAAGCAGACCATTTCAACACACTGCTACTGGTACGTTACTTCTGGATTCTTCATTACCTTAATAGTGAACTTTTTATTACATCCCCACCCCTCAAGGGAGGTTCCTTGATGCTGGTGAGGGGCTCTTGATCTAGGGAATTGGATCTGTGCCCCGGTTCCCTGAATTGAGCCTGAATACCTTCCATTCCCCCCTCTCCCACATGCACTGTATAATCCTATGGGATTAGCGTTCCCCCCATGATTATAATAATGATAATATTACATCCCCTTATGGAAAGTACAGTGCCTGCATTCTAAAGGAGGAGCAGGGATATTGTGCTTTGGAGGAGCATCTGAGCTGTAATGTGTGCACACCCTTGGGAAGACCGTGATAGAGTGAGTAATAGTGAATGTGTTTCTTCTTTTCGGGTCACCCTACCTTGGTGGGAGATGGCTGGTGTGTTAAAAAAAAAAATCTGAAATTATGATTTCATTTTCTTTTTCGGGCCACCCTGCCTTGGTGGGAATCGGCCAGTGTGATAATAAATAAAAAATATAATAAAAATGCTTAATTAGTGAGTATAGGCTTGAAGTATGTGTCGCAACCCATAGATATACGTGTACTCGCCTAATTGTGGTCACGGGTTGAGTCATAGCTCCTGGCCCTGCCTCTTCACTGGTTGCTAATAAAGTGTGTAGTAATCCATAGATATATGAAAGTGTGTGTGTATGTGATGTGATCCCTGTTTCAAGGAGGCTGACCTTAGCTTGCAGGCTCTGATCCCGAAAATTTTCTTCCATTTTTCTAAAGTGGTAATTGAAAAAAAATAGCAAGATAATACTATATAATTTTTAGCAAATTAATTTAGCTAAATAATTTGGTGGTTTAGATGGCTTGGACATTTGTAAGGGCTGGATCAAGATAAATTGGCCAAGAGTGTGTGTGAAGCCCATATTAAATTCACTTTATAAGTGGTTAAATGGTATATTAAGATTCTTCTTGATTTTATTTTTTTTTTTTTTCAACAAGTCGGCCGTCTCCCACCGAGGCAGGGTGACCCAAAAAAGAAAGAAAATCCCCAAAAAGAAAATACTTTCGTCATCATTCAACACTTTCACCACACTCACACATTATCACTGTTTTTGCAGAGGTGCTCAGAATATAACAGTTTAGAAGCATATACAGGAGGGCCCCACTTATACGGCAGGTTAGGTTCCAGGCTACCGCCGTAAAGCGGAAACCGCCGTAAAGTGGAACACCCTTTTTTTCCACTTATAAATGCATACAAATACTAGATAACAAGTTTACACTAACATATATTAAGTTAGCAATAGAACCAGGCATCAAAAAACAATAAAAAAGTACAATACACACATAGTGCACTCATTACTTACCTTAAAATATTTATAGTCTTAATCTAGGGTGAGACAAGTAGTATTTATTGTAAGAAATCAAGTGTGGTATGTATGGTAATAGCCAGGCTACCTTACCAGGCCACCCCACCCACACATACTATTCTATGATATTTAAGCATCCCAGAGCGATAAAATGTATATACAGTTCACTCATTACTTAACTTAAAATATTTGTAGTCTTAATGTAGGGTCAGGAGTAAGTAAATGAGATAAAACGAATAAATGAGAGAGAGAAAGAATGAGTACATGAGAGGGGACAGGCGCAGAGTTATGTAAACAAACCAGGCGAACGTAAGTTTTGTAAACAAACGAAGTGTACACGTCTGGTTTGTGTACAAGTTACATTGTGTACAGGTTGTCTCTACATTGATACGGTAGAATTAATAAAGAAGAACACTCCCATTCTCATGTAACATCATTTTGAGAAGAAATGAAGCTCTGAGTGAAGGCAATGGAAATAAGTCACACTGACTTTTTTGGGTTATCCTAGGTTCTCTACACGTATGTTGTTATGTATGATAATCTATGTAACTGTATTTGTGTATACCTGAATAAACTTACTTACATACGAAAGGAATAATTTTCTACAGTTACCCCCAGTAACACATTTTCTCTTATGTTATATTAGAGAAAATGTTATTCTTGCCGTCACTTGTACAAGTTATGTGGCTCCCACATCTTATATTTATGTTTATTTATTCTATTGTGGGGTGTATTTATCATCTTTTTATGTTATGTATCGTGTTTATTATATAATTTTGAAAAAAAATATCATGGATGGATTAATGAAAATGTGTATATTAACGTAATATACGACATTTAATGAGACTCGGTGAGTATTGTTATTATTATTATCATTTCTAATATGGCGTCACTTGTGCAAGTCGTCTGCTACCACATCTCACATTTTTTTTTTTTTTTTTTTTTTTTGCAACAAGTCGGCCGTCTCCCACCGAGGCAGGGTGACCCAAAAAAGAAAGAAAATCCCCAAAAAGAAAATACTTTCATCATCATTCAACACTTTCACCACACTCGCACATTATCACTGTTTTTGCAGAGGTGCTCAGAATACAACAGTCTAGAAGCATACACATATAAAGATACACAACATATCCCTCCAAACTGCCAATATCCCAAACCCCTCCTTTAAAGTGCAGGCATTGTACTTCCCATTTCCAGGACTCAAGTCCGACTATATGAAAATAACCGGTTTCCCTGAATCCCTTCACTAAATATTACCCTGCTCACACTCCAACAGATCGTCAGGTCCCAAGTACCATTCGTCTCCATTCACTCCTATCTAACACGCTCACGCACGCTTGCTGGAAGTCCAAGCCCCTTACCCACAAAACCTCCTTTACCCCCTCTCTCCAACCCTTTTGAGGACGACCCCTACCCCGCCTTCCTTCCCCTATAGATTTATATGCTTTCCATGTCATTCTACTTTGATCCATTCTCTCTAAATGACCAAACCACCTCAACAACCCCTCTTCTGCCCTCTGACTAATACTTTTATTAACTCCACACCTTCTCCTAATTTCCACACTCTGAATTTTCTGCATAATATTTACACCACACATTGCCCTTAAACAGGACATCTCCACTGCCTCCAACCATCTCCTCGCTGCTGCATTTACCACCCAAGCTTCACACCCATATAAGAGTGTTGGTACTACTATACTTTCATACTTTCCCTTCTTTGCCTCCATAGATAACTTTTTTGACTCCACATATACCTCAACGCACCACTCACCTTTTTTTCCCTCATCAATTCTATGATTAACCTCATCCTTCATAAATTCATCTGCCGACACGTCAACTCCCAAGTATCTGAAAACATTCACTTCTTCCATACTCCTCCTCCCCAATTTAATATCCAATTTTTCTTTATCTAAATCATTTGACACCCTCATCACCTTACTCTTTTCTATGTTCACTTTCAACTTTCTACCTTTACACACATTCCCAAACTCATCCACTAACCTTTGCAATTTTTCTTTAGAATCTCCCATAAGCACAGTATCATCAGCAAAAAGTAACTGTGTCAATTCCCATTTTGAATTTGATTCCCCATAATTTAATCCCACCCCTCTCCCAAACACCCTAGCATTTACTTCCTTTACAACCCCATCTATAAATATATTAAACAACCATGGTGACATTACACATCCCTGTCTAAGACCTACTTTTACTGGGAAGTAGTCTCCCTCTCTTCTACACACCCTAACCTGAGCCTCACTATCCTCAAAAACTCTTTACAGCATTTAATAACTTACCACCTATTCCATATATTTGCAACATCTGCCACATTGCTCCTCTATCCACTCTATCATATGCCTTTTCTAAATCCATAAATGCAATAAAAACTTCCCTATCTTTATCTAAATACTGTTCACATATATGCTTCAATGTAAACACCTGATCTACACATCCCCTACCCACTCTAAAACCTCCTTGCTCATCCGCAATCCTACATTATGTCTTACCTCTAATTCTTTCAATTATAACCCTACCGTACACTTTTCCTGGTATACTCAGTAAGCTTATTCCTCTATAATTTTTACAGTCTCTTTTGTCCCCTTTCCCTTTATATAAAGGGACTATACATGCTCTCTGCCAATCCCTAGGTACCTTCCCCTGTTTCATACATTTATTAAACAAAAGTACCAACCACTCCAACACTATATCCCCCCCTGCTTTTAACATTTCTGTCATGATCCCATCAGTTCCAGCTGCTTTACCCCCTTTCATTTTACGTAATACCTCACGTACCTCCCCCACACTTACATTCTGCTCTTCTTCACTCCTAAAAGATGGTATACCTCCCTGACCAGTGCATGAAATTACTGCCTCTGTTTCTTCCTTAACATTTAAAAGTTCCTCAAAATATTCTCGCTATCTACCCAATACCTCCATCTCCCCATCTACTAACTCCCCTACTCTGTTTTTAACTGACAAATCCATATTTTCCCTAGGCTTTCTTAACTTGTTTAACTCACTCCAAAATTTTTTCTTATTTTCATTAAAATTTCTTGACAGTGCCTCTCCCACTCTATCATCTGCTCTCCTTTTGCACTCTCTCACCACTCTCTTTACCTTTCTTTTACTCTCCATATACTCTGCTCTTCTTATAACACTTCTGCTTTGTAAAAACCTCTCATAAGCTACCTTTTTCTCTTTTATCACACCCTTTACTTCATCATTCCACCAATCACTCCTCTTTCCTCCTGCCCCCACCCTCCTATAACCACAAACTTCTGCCCCACATTCTAATACTGCATTTTTAAAATATTCCAACCCTCTTCAACCCCCCCACTACTCATCTTTGCACTAGCCCACCTTTCTGCCAATAGTCGCTTATATCTCACCCGAACTTCCTCCTCCCTTAGTTTATACACTTTCACCTCCCTCTTACTTGTTGTTGCCACCTTCCTCTTTTCCCATCTACCTCTTACTCTAACTGTAGCTACAACTAAATAATGATCCGATATATCAGTTGCCCCTCTATAAACATGTACATCCTGGAGCCTACCCATCAACCTTTTATCCACCAATACATAATCTAATAAACTACTTTCATTACATGCTACACCATACCTTGTATATTTATTTATCCTCTTTTTCATAAAATATGT